TTCCTTCCTTCCTTCCTTCCTTCCTTCCTTCCTTCCTTCCTTCCTTCCTTCCTTCCTTCCTTCCTTCCTTCCTTCCTTCCTTCCTTCCTTCTTATTTTGCATGAACTAAGAATTAAAAGGAACATATACAGTATAGGATATGAGAAATAGGCATGATCACCAAGGAATTGTACAAATAAGTAGTAATATCTGTAAAAAGTAACTTGGGAAGCTAAAAGCAAGGGAACTCAAGGGAAGCTAAAAGCAACAAAATGGAATTCCTGACTGTGTCAGTTGTAAAAGGACAGAAAAGGAAGTCATAAGCCTCTTCCTAGGAATTCATCAATACCAATTTGCTTCAGTTTTCTCCCCCAAAGAGAATTGTATTATCCCAAAGCTTATATGTGTTTAATCCATTGCAGTGAGTGGAGTAGATATAAGAGTTCTTCATCTCTTCAATCAGTTCATGAGTGCTTGGATATTTTATTATATATCCCAAATTATAAACCTTCTGAACAAAACATGTTTACATATTTCTCATTCATCAGTATGGGTTTATACAGTACTAAAAATAGTATTAGGAAATGTCTTGTGCTGATTATTATATTTTGTGTTATACTAATTTATATTCTATATTTTTTTAATTACTTGTACTGAGCTTACATACTAAGCCCAAACTAAAGAGGTACATGATGCTTAGCTTAGATGCCACTAACTGGGTAGAGCGCACATGCATGAATGTTTCTTCTATTTCAGGGTTCGATGACCAGGAGAAACATAGATGTGGGCAAGTGGGGTAAATGTGGCCTGACAAGCCAATACTTCTTACTCAGAGAAAGAAACAATAAAGCCGAGTTCTTTAGAAACCAAGATCTCAGTGAGAACACTATCCATGGATCCACAAATTGGATACAAAAACTCTACTTGAAGATGGATGTTATCTAACCTTCCATTTCTTACAGTGTCCAACTAAAGGAGTCTGGGAATCCCACCCTTAGGACAGAAAGGCAATAGTTTGTCCAAAGCTGTTCCTTAGCAACCAGAAAGTCAATGGCAAAGCACACTGACAGGATGCTGAATATGCATTTCTCCCACAGGACTGCAGCTTGTTTCAGCCTTTGCTATGGCGGTACATCTCCAGAAATCCTCTTTGTTGTAGATTCTTTCTTTGCTGACTCAGATGGTTAAATCCAAGTAATTTAAAACCAAAGTGTAAACTTGCAAAAACAGATTTTTAAATGTAGAAGGTGTTAGGAATATATAATATAATCATTTATTTTGGCTGCTTTGTTAAAATCTTGGAATTGTTTATTTGTGACTTGTGTTATGCTCTTATTAAGAATTCATAGTTATTCATGCCACATGTACAGAACTGGTTTTAAAACAGCTAGCTCATCTTTTTCATCAAATATTTTATACATGACAATATGTTAATATTAAGAAAAGCATGGGCACATTAAAACAAAATCCTTTGATTGTTAACAGCTCTGTATAATTAACCAAAATGTAATCACAATTCACCCTTGGAAACTTTTTGGGTGTAAAATACATCTTTGAGCCAGTTACAAGAAAAAATAACTTTACTATCATTTGAGATTCATGAAAATCTGAGACATCTGTGGTTGGGTTAAAAAATTAAGGTGTCAACTTTGTGATTGAATCTTGACATTTAGCCATCTTGACATTTAGAGTCCCTAAATGGAAATACAAAAGAATGGGGAGAACAACAGTACTTGTCCATTCTCTTACATTTAATAGACAATCACTAGTCTTTTTCACAGATACAAAAACATTATGTAAGCTTTTGTTCACATTATAGACATAAAACATTACTTGCTTTAAAAATAATAATAATCAGTGCTCTAGTGAGTGATTTGGTCCAGCATTCTGCATCCCAGAATGGTCATCTCTTCCATCTAAAATAGGACAAAGGGATACAAATTCCACTCTTCCCTGATATAGCTGATTTTAATATATGTTGCCTGACAATCAGAACATAACCATCAAAACAAGGTGCTATATGGTCTTTTATTCTATAAATTTGCCTGATTCACTTTTAAAACTAACCTAATTACTTACATCCTAGTCTTCCTACATTTTACTTCAATGTGAGTATAACGTTACTGGAGAAATTTGTTTTTTTTTTAAACTTTCTACACCTCTATCAGCCTCCTGTCTAATCTAAAATAGCTCAGATTTTGTATATTTTTTTCATTATAACTCCTGGTTATTTTGATTGTGTTTTTTCTAGCTTACAATATTCTTTTGAAGAAGTATGATTATCTATGGTATGCATAATTGATGGCTTAAAATTAATTTCTCAAAGACACACAAAACCAAATCGACATTTAGCAGGTGGGCATTTTGAAAAAGGCATGAACATATCAGTCATACACTATCAGTTCTAAGAGTTGCAGTACTGCGGGTCAATTTATTGTTTTAATCTACAAGCTATGAAATCAAGCTATGAATTCAAGAAGTATATTCCTGTGCAACAAAAATGTTAACATAATAATAAATGACTGAGTAATATTGATCAATAGTCGACATATTGACTATTGATCAATATTACTTAATCATTTATTATTATTATAATGTTACTCCTTTACATATGGAATTAGTCAACCATAGTTTAAAACAAAAAACATTGCAATTTTATAACTCAATATTGGGAATCTCGGTAGGTGAGTCTCCTTGGCTGAACTTCTCTAGGCTTAGAAGTGAAACAGATTTAGATGTTTGGAATCTTGGTCTTGCAACTTCTGGTCAAAGAGCAGGCAGTAGTTGTGGCCAATTGAGCTTTTGCATTGCTTTAGTTGGATGCCAGGTGTGCCTACTCCTGAACTGTGTACCTATTCCTTGATTGTGAAACCCCTTAGATAATCACTTATGCCTTAGTTACCTCACAGTTGAATTATTGCAGTATTCTATATGGACCTGCTCTTGAAAATCATTTAGAGGCTAAAATTAGCCCTACTTATACTGATACTACTGCCCATGAGCTGCATTGGTTACTGGTAAGCTTCCTGGTACAATTCAAGTATTGGTTGTGCTTCATGGCATAGCGCCAGATAGTTGTTTTTTTGTAAAAAAAAATTTAAATTTTTTTGACAATGAACCTAAACAAACATAAACACAAAACAACAAATAAAACCTTTCAGTTGTACAGTGTGTTGGTTGATACATATTTCTTGTGCACAATATCTATCGTCTTTCCCTCTTAGACTTAGATTTATATTCATATTATATTAATCAACTTTCTATATCATGTTATGTTATCATTACTGGCATAGCGCCAGATAGTTGAGGGACAACTTGTCTCCTATACCAGTGTTTGTGAATTTTTTCGTCACTGAGTGCTGAAATGGGAACGCGCATGCGCGGGTGAGGGCTAGAAACCAGAGCAGCTTCCCAGCATGCATGCACATACTGGAAACTGGAAGCTCAACTTCCCGGTGAGTGCATGCATGCTGGGGAGATGCTCTTTTGGTTTCTGGCACTCCCACGTGTGTGAAGACCAGTTGTCCAGAGTGCATGTGCACCGAAACCCAGAATAGCAACAGGCGATGGCTGGTGTGCCCGGAGAGATGGCTCTGCATGCCACCTCCAGCACATATGCCATAAGTTTTCCATCACGGTCCTATGCTTTCTGTCTTGGTAAGATCAGGCTGAGTCAATGTGCTTTGAATCCCTTCAATCAAACAATGGGGATTGTGATTGGGAAGGAAAGCTTCTTTGTGATTCTTTTGTTCTGAAATGGTAACCCCGCAAAAATCCATGTAGCTTCCATGCTAATGATGTCCCAGAAGTTTTGGGGGTAGATTTAAAAATATGACTGTCTTGTCAGACATTGGGGTTGAGTGTTTGTGGAACCCGGAACATGCTGCTGTTGTTGTTTTAATGTATGGTATATAATGTATGGTATAATGTATGATATATGGATAACCCTTAAGGTTATCTCTCTAATATATTTCTGTTTTTAAAGTGTAAGCCATAATTCTGGAGTTGGGCAATCTCTAAATCTTAACACCAACAATACCTCCAGCTTGCAATCCCCTGTGCAGCACATGGTGGCTATTATTATCTACTGCAAAATCTGGGTGGTAATTCTGACAGAAGGGAGGGAGAGAGAAGGAGAGAGAAAGAGCAATAATGATGCCCCATTTATCTGTTTTATTATTTTAGAAAGGGGATGCTTTAAGAATTACCAAACATCTTTTTTAACACCTGACATTAAATGGTTTTGTTCTCATCGGCTCTCACAAATGCTAACTTCAGCCTGTGATTTATTTAAAACTTTCCTTTCCCTTAATTTCACCTACAAAAGGTTCATTCTTCCTGTATGAACCTGCTTTGTCAGTATTTGCTCTGATTTATGGAAGATTTCAACCAAACAAAATAACTATCCTTTTTCTTTTCATTAGAGCTAATCCCCAGAAAGACACTTTCATCTGCCGATTAGTCATGCCCCTGCAAGCCTCAATAACCCGAGGGTAAGTTATTGATGTGTTAAAGATGTAATCGCAAAGGCTCAAGGCAGCCAAAGAAATCTCACTTTTTTATCTAACCATGGCATCATTTTGAGTCATTTTAACCCTGATAGGAGATCCAGTGTACTAAATCATCACCCTGATCATAGTTGTTCTTATGTTAGCTCCTGCTGTAATTGGTTCATGATACTGAATACCTCAAAGGTTAAAATGAACAAGCAGAAAATGGCATCCAACTATAATTAATTCAGGAGGTATGTGATGAAGATATGTGACTAATTCTATCACAGTCTCATTATTAAGCAATGATTATTGCACTCCAGGGAATCATTGGTGAAAAATCCCAGTTTTTAAAATTAATATTTAAAAGGATATTATCTTACTTTAAATAAATTGTCTTCCAATTCTGTTATTTCTTTGTGATACATTGAGGAGTAGCTTGAACTGGATGATTAAGGTAAAGGAATACAGATAGTTCTTGACATATAACTGGTCATTTTATGACTGTTTGGAGTTACAATGACCTTAGAATGGGTGCTTTATGACTTGTACTTCCAGCAATGGCAAAATGTTGCTTCTCTCTCATGGTCACATGCTCACTTTGGTTGCTTGGCAACTGATTCACACTTAAGACTAGCTGCAGCATCTTACAGCCTTATGACTGTTATTTGCAATGGAATGAATTCATTTGGAAGATTGGGTTTGTTTAACCATATTCCTTAACAATTATGATATGCTTAACAATTGCCATGAAAAATGTCAGAAAAATAAGTCCATTCACATGAATTCCTTGATTTATGACTGCAACATCTAGATTTCCATCCCAATTGTTCTCAGAAGTCGAGGACTGCCTGAAGCTTTTTAAGTGTTTTCTTGTTTCATTTTACAATAGCAGGTTTGAGTGTTCTCTGAGCAAAAAGGTAGGATATTTATTTATCTGGTATATATTGTTGCCTATCTCACCTGCCACCAGTGGCTCTGGGTATCTTATAACAATTAAAAACAGCAATCCATTAAAAAATTTAAAAAACATAATATGACATTAATCATCCAAACAACAGCAAAAGAAATTAACTTGAACATATACCAAATGTATATTCAAATGTAATGAATTTCTGATCATTGCAATGGGAATATGCTTCTTCTATTTTCTCCCACCAATCCTTGAGATAAAGAAAGCACCCTTTTATTTTCCAAACTAAATTTGCACAGCTGTTTCAACCATTCTTTATAGGACTTGGTTTCCAATGTCCACACAGTTACTTTTCTTCTAGATAATGTTCCAGTGCCCTTAAAATATAGTGTTGGAAAAATATAGAAAAAGGAGGACTTTCTCAACTGTATTAATATCAGATACGTAATGCGGGTTCCAGACCGATGAGCTATATTCAAGTATTGGTCTAGTAAATGTTTTGTATGCTCTAGTTAGTAGTGTGATATTGCTGGAGAAAAAGCTACGCATGATTAGGTTAACAACTCTTAATGCCTTTTTGGCTATGTAGTTACAGTGGGCTCTAGCACTTAGATAATTAGAGATGAGTACTCCAAGGTCCTTGACAGAGTTTGGATCATCAATATGAGAAAACTCATTCAATAAAGAAGACAAGGAAGTACACAAGCATTGCATAAAGTATACATTGCATATAGTACATTTAATATATAAATGTAAGTGTAATTCACAGGTATAAATTTGGAAATAATTGTGGCAATTTATATATAAATCCAATTTTCTATCCATGAAAAGGAAGATATTAATCCCTGTGCCTGTTATTGTCCAGCTGACTGATAACTTGGATTAGAGAGCCCTTTAAATGAATAGCACATTTAAACAGTCTGCCAAATAGAACAGTATTCTATTTAGCAGTGTATGTTGATCTCTAACTTTAAGGTATCTGGGATTCAACTCCTAGGATTCTCTATCCTGTAAGTGCATTTTAAAGTTCTTACAGTTGAGAAACACAACTATAGACAGTAGGAGATATTGCTGAAGTTTTCAGGAATATTCTTAGACATGATCTTCAATAAAGATGGCGATCTGAATCTAAAGAGAGTGCCAATCTAATTCCACTCATGCTCTGTTGGATAAGATTAAGTTGATCCTTAGTGAGGAAAATCTCTGGCTCCTCTGCAAAAATCATCATCATTGTCATCATTGTCATTTTCTGTGTCACCTCTTAGTTCTAGCCCATCTCATACTTTTCCTCCTACCTGGGAAAATAGGGGGTTGGACAAAGTGGTAAATATTACTTGGCATTGCTGGAGCTTATAGGCAGGGGTGGGATTCAAATTTTTTAACATCCGGTTCTGTGGGCATGGCTTAGTTGGTGGACGTGGCTCGGTGGTCATGTGACTGGCTGAGTGTGGCCAACTCAATATCACTCAAATCAAGACACACATCTCCGTGCCTGGCCTCTCATGACTGTGGGGTGGCTGCAACAGTTGTAAGTGTCAAAAACAGTCATGTCACTTTTTTCAGTGCCATTGTAACTTTGAATGGTCACTCCACACAAGCAAAGTACCAGCAAAGGAGAGGGAAAAAACTCCAGAGACGTTCCTGAGACAGGAAGTCTAGTCCTGCCAAGAATGTAATAAGGGTTAACGAAGGGGTAAGCAACACCAGAATGTTTCCTTCCTGCCTTCCTTACAGGATTAGACCAGTAATTTCTTCTAACAACCGGTTCTCTGAACTGCTTAGAATGTTAAGAACCAGTTCTAGCGAATAGGTGCGAACTGGTAGAATCCCACCCCTGTTTTTAGGAAGATTCTCAGTTGAGGCTCCATTAGGAGGATGGCCCACCTTAATGTCCAGGACTAAGTCTGTGGTCGATGACAATTACTAATTTACAAGCTTTTTTTAACCCTTCATGATAATAAAGCCACAGGTGGGGTCAGGCCTTCCTACTTCTCAGCATCAATAAAGTATAGTGCCTTTCACACAATGTTGAGTCCCAGATATTGCAGAATGCTTTTAATAATAAGCCAGAAATCAAATGGAGGATTTGATAAAAGAAGTAGGAAGAGTCAGCATTTAATAATGGAAGAATTTGGAGTAAAAGTAATGTGTATTTGAGAAAGATAAATCATTAGTAGCATAAATAGTATTGTGATGAGAAAAAGATTGAGAAAGAACTCAAGAGTTATTAATTTATCGAAAGACATTTGTATATATATTTCAGTATCTCTTCTTTCAATTTGTTTTCTCTGTGTTACCTTGTTTTTCTATTCCTTTCCAAAGAAAGACCTCATTCCACAGACTGCTTTTACAGTAACTGCAATCTAATTATTTTAAATTATCATGTTTGTTTTTCTTATGGAGTTTCAGCGTCATGCTCTGTGGTCCAAGTTCCCATATTTTGGTCAATAAACAAATGACATCTGGCTTCCTTTTTCTTGGAAAAAGATACTTCCTGTTGTCTTCCTTCTAACTCTAAATTCCTGAAAATATTATATTTGAAAATGATTTTAACAACCTTTTATCACATAGCCATGCAAAAGCAGGGCTCCTCCTTTATAGTCAAGGAACTTCTTTTGTCATTTTAGGTTTTACTAACATATTCAGTGCAAATTGAGTGGAATTTGATCCTAGAGTTATAACTCTTAGTCATAAATATGGGAATTTAACAAACCATAATCGTTAGCTAAAGAGGTCAAAACTCTTTGAGAATTTCTTTGCTCAAGAATACAAGTTAATTGCCTCACAGATAAATATTTTAGAAAGGAGAATATTTCATGAACTCTGGATTATTGACCTGCTTTTGTAAAAAGAAATGCAAGCACGCAAGTATGCAGTCCAAATGCTATTTTTTTATTAGTAAAATTAATGTTTTATTTTCACAAGCTTTAAAATTAAAGACACAAATTCCTCGGAGACTGCAGTTGCATCCTTGTTTTGTTCATGTGCTTCCTGTTGACAATTAGCTGGCTACCAGTTTGAATGCCTTTGATAGCTACCAACTGAGATAAATTAATTGGGGGGGGGGCAATCTTTTAACAGCTACTGGTTATGACGGTTATTTGTTGCTTCCAGAGTCAAGACAATTTGTCTCTGAAAGCCCATTGTTGTGAAGAAGCACTTTGCCATCATGTTCTGCTTGTGGGCTTCCCATGAGTCACCATTAAGGGCCATTGTAAGAATAGAATCCTTAATTAGATTGTCCATTAGGCCTTATATTCTTATATTAAGAGAATAAGGAACAAACATAATAGGAAAAAACAAAAAAAGGATAACTGAAGTTTTTTGTTAAATTGAAATAATAAAGGATACATCTAATAATTGCTTCTAAAATATTCAATATTAAGCAATAGTCAAGGCCTGAATATTTAGTGTTCTGAGTGTGTGCCAATATACTCTATGTAGCTCCAAATTAGTGCAATGGTGTGGGTACTTAAGATATGCCAATATAACATCACTGCTTCATGAACTACACTGGCTTCCAGTAGGCTTCTCGATACAATTCAAGATGCAGTTATCAGTTATATAGCTCTTCACAGCATAGAACCAGATTATTTGAGATCCTATCGATGATTTCTGTTCATCCTATAAGATTGAATAGATCAGAAATTTATTCTATTAAATTATTTCATCTGATGAAATTGAGATGTGTCTTTTCTTTTATAGTGCCTGCTCTGTGAAGCAGCATACTCGGTGAGAACAAGACGGCCCTGACTTTGGTGTGTGTGTGTGTGTGTGTGTGTGTGTGTGTGTGTGTGTGTTATCCCTTGGTAACGCCACCAAAAATAATCAGTAGGAAAACTGATTGTACAGAGAATAAAATTGGTCAAAGAATGTTGTCAAAGAGAGTGAAGAATGTTAAAATTAAAAGAGACAACAAAAATGCACAGCATTTACAATGTTTTGTAAATGGACAGAGAAGCCAAAACATAGAGACTCCAGTAGAGTATGAAATTAAGAATCAAATTGGAAAAAAATTTGATTTGGGATGAAACTAAAGTGATTGGAAGGATAATTTAGAAATTTCTCTGAGAATTTCTATGAGAATTCT